CTGGAGAGATGGCTCAGAGGTTAAGAGCACTGGCTGCTCTTCCAGAGGTCCTGAGTTCAATTCCCAGCAACCACATGGTGGCTCACAACCACCTGTAATGAGATCTGGCGCCCTCTTCTGTATACATAATAAATAAATAAATCTTAAAAAAAAAAATGCAGGGGCCACAGAACCAGCTTAGCAGGCACAGGTGCTTGCACTCCATTCTGATCTTAGAGCCTCAGTCCCCTCAAGGTAACAAGAGAAACTGACTCTGCGACTGCCCTGCCTCCCCATGCATGCCATGACATGCATGTGTCTGCACTCATGCACACACCACAAATGTTTTGGGTTATTTGTTTTTGGGACAGGGTCTCACTCTGTAGCCCTGGCTGGTCTGCAGCTCATTATGCAGGACACCCTAGCTGCAAACTCAGACATCAGCCTGCCTTGGACTAAAGGCAGGTGCTTCCCTATGTTGCATAATATATATTTAAAATATTTTTATTGTATATGTATAGGTATTTTGTCTACATGTATGTCTGTGTATCATTTGCATGCTTGGTGCCTGCAGAGGCCAGAAGAGGGTGTTAGATCCCTTGAAACCAGAGTTACAGTTTTGAGCCACCATCTGGGTGCTGAGAATTGAACATAGATCTTGTATAAGAGCAACGAGTGCTCTTAACTGTTGAGCCATCTCTCCAGACCCACAATTTAAAAAAAAAAAATGACTCTATCAGGGTTAAGTACAGATCCATGGTAGACTGCCTCTTAATATGCAAACAATTCTCTCCGGTCCACCCACAACACTGCCCAAAACATTGGCCTCAACCTTCCTTTAATACGGTTCCTTATGCTGTGGTGACCCCAACTATAAAATTATTTTGCTGCTACTTTGTAATTGTAACTTTGCTACTGTTATGAATCATAATGTAAGTATTTGACATGCAGGATACCTGATATGACCCCTCAAAGATGTTGTGACCCAGTTTGAGAACCACTGGCCTCAGCAAGCTGTGCTTTCCCTGATCATGCTACAGGCTGAGCGCTCCTGCTCACTGTCATACTGGGGGCTGAGGAGGAGGCAGCGAACCCCTACACCAGAACCCTCGCATTAGAGCTGGGATAGGGCTCAGTAGGGAGTGTTTGCCTAGCATACTCAAAGCCTACGTTCCAGCCCCAGGACTACATTCCTAGCTTTGATGGCAGAGGCCTGTCATCCCAGCACTCGGAAGACAGAGGCAGAGATCAGGAGTTCAGGGGATAGCTGCTGTGGTATGTGATTCCCTCAAAAACAAACAGGGCTGGAGAGGGCTCGGCAGGCAAGAGCACTGGCTGCTCTCAGAGACCTGGGTTCAGTTCCAGAACCCACGGAGTGGCTCGAAACTGTCTGTAACGCCACTTGCAGGAGTTCTGATGCCTTCTGATCTCTATGTGTGTGTGTATATCACCATCCATGCATGTGATATACACACATACACACACATATACATGCAAAACAGCCATACACATAAAATAACTTTTTAAGTTCATTAAATTAAAAAAAATTACATTTTACTGGGACTGTCTGCTCTGTGGAAAGCAGAGCAAAGAGGGTCAGCTAATGGTGAGACCAGTGAGAAATGGATGGGACCCCCATGTGGGGTGCTCCATGACATAGGGCGGGACTGCGGGACCACTCTGGACACTGGAGATGCAGGAGAGGGAGGTGGGGCATACACTTAGGGCAGGAATAATCAAAATAAAATCTGGTTCTAATGCAGAATTTGCCAACTAAACTTTCCCTGAAGGAAATCTTATTCACTTTTTGTAGTGTGTGCGTGTGTACACACACATGCCAGGCTGCCGAAGTCAGAGGACACTGAAGAAGCCAGTTCTCCATCATATGGATTGACCTCAGATTGCCAGGTGTTCTTATCTGCTGAGCCCCCTTGATGATGGAGAGTAACTTAGGTCCTTGAGCATGCTAGGTACATCCTCTACTGCTGACTCTCCTTACAGTACCATCCATCTTGTGTAAGCATGTGCATTGGTGTAGGCATGTGCATTAGCATATGCATGTGCATTGGTGTAAGCATGTGCATTGGTGTATGCATGTGCATTGGTATATGCATGTGCATTGGTGTAAGCATGTGCATTGGTGTATGCATGTGCATTGGTGTATGCATGTGCATTGGTGTAAGCATGTGTATTGGTGTAAGCATGTGCATTGGTGTAAGCATGTGCATTGGTGTATGTATGTGCATTGGTGTAAGCATGTATATTGGTGTAAGCATATGCACTGGTGTGTATGCATGTGCATTGGTGTATGTATGTTCATTAATGTATGCATGTGCATCAGTGTGCCAGGTGATGGGTGTGTGTACATTCAAGTGGAAGCCAGAGGTCATAGTCAGGGCTTTTTCCTCAGTTGCTCTTCAAAAGTCACCCTATAGCCAGGCTACAGTATACAGCCGGGGTGGTGGCACACACCTTTAGTCCCAGCACTCAGGAGGCAGAGGTAGGTGGATCTCTGCAAGTTCAAGGCCAGCCAGAAATATACAGTTAGACCCTTTCTCAAAAACAAAACCAACAAAAACAAACAAACAAGGGCTGGAGAGATGGCTCAGAGGTTAAGAGCACTGACTGTTCTTCCAGAGGTCCTGAGTTCAATTCCCAGCAACCACATGGTGGCTCACTACCATTTATAACGAGATCTGGTGCCCTCTTCTGGCCT